TAGTCAGAGACATATTAGAGGCAGAAGCAGGAGTTAGGAGGGGTAGAGGTAGACCTAGATTAGATTACTGTTCACAACTAGTTCACGATGTGTGTTGTTCTAGTTTTAGGGAAATGCGAAGTTTAGCTCAGGATAGGAAAGAGTGGAGGTACGTGTCCAACCAGTCTTAAGACTGACGACCTTATGATAATGATGAAGACAATAGGACACAATGAAGAGACAGAATAGTAAACCCGATTCTTTACAAAAATATAAAATAAAAAATACATGTTGCAACATAGCAAGGAACTAAAAAACATCGATTTATTATTCCTGTTTAAGCTACAATGTGAACCCGGTTTGAACTGAATACATAAAAATTGTAATAGCGCACTGGTTCTTAAGATTCTTTCGATTCCTGTTAGCTTTAAATAGAAATCACAATCGGAGAGCTTAACGACTTCTCCTGCAAGCGTCTCTATACCATTGAGGCTTCAATAATACGCTTGCACAGCACACATTTGTGAAATATTCCTTTTCAATGGAAAACGTTGATAGAAGTCAAAGCCCCAGATTATATGTGCTGTGTATCGAACTATCGAATAGGCACTAGCTTAAGAGAGTAATCTTTTGCTTCATTTAATCTATATTTGTACATTAAACTGGTGGCAAATCTATGTATTATGCGTTTAATTCCTACCAGTTACTAATAGATAGTCCTTTTGGACTACGCTGGAGAGTAAGGTGGAAAACCCTCTTTAGTCTCTTTTTAAAAATCATGGGAATAGGTTGGCGGTGGTTGTGAATGGGTGAGAAACATGAGACGGGCGGAAATGAAGGCAGAAAAGCCTGAAAGATTATCTATAGGATATGACTGTCTCACTATTTGCTTCAGTGATCCAAGGAAAGCACAGAAAATCTTGGTCTAGAGCAGCCGCACCCGGATTCGAACCTGTGCCCTCCTGGATACTATACAACGTTCTAAACCTCTATGCTGTACCGCCCCGTAAGTTGATACTCTGATTGTGGTTGTTAACCGAGCGGCATGGCCTAGAGGTTTAGACCATTGCTCCGGGTCCGTCTGCCTTGGTCCAAGTTTTTCTGTGGTTTCCTTGGATCACTTAGGCAAATGCTGAGGCAGTAATATTCCACAGATAATCTTTCATTCTCTTCTGTCTTCATTTTGTCCGTCTCATCTTTCCCACCCGAACCACCACCCACCCATTCCCACGATTCCTGAAAGCAGGCTGAAGAGGGCCTTCCGCCCTACCTTCCGGCATAGTTCGGAGGGACTGCCCGCCCACCAGCATTACTGGCTGGTGGGAATGAAACACCCAAAAGAGTTTTTGTGGTTGTTTATTGTCTACCAACGGCAGGTTTACTTGTGTTAGTAGTTAGTTGATATTCTGTCGAGTCACTAGTTGGCTGTTTGTTGAGATACGAGCTACCTGAGTTTCATTGGATCGGCAAATTGACTCCATTTGCTGAATGTAACAAGAGAGGCCAATTTCGAGAACCTCTACATACCTCTTCAGCCGTTTTCCACACTACTACTACTTGATTGCGGGTGACCTTAGATTTAAGGGCGAACGTCCTGCAGTCTGCCCACAGGGATGTCCTTGGTTTCTATAGTTGGATACTAACACACTATGTACCTGGTGTAACACCTTAAACGGCTGCTAGTGCTAGGATTTCATACTAACTTTGACACCTGCCCGGCGCCCTGCCCGGCCATAGCGTGCTGATGGAAACCAAACTTCTTTTATATTAATTCCGTTACTGTTTTTCTTTCAGTCTCGTTAACCTTTAAGGTTTTCCATTTGCTTAAATTAATGCCACTATAAAAGTTGGTAAAATAATGTACTGAAAGGAGCAGTGTATTAACTAGAGGTAATCGTGATCAAACGTAATTGCTTTATTAGCTTACAACATCAATAACTATCTATAAGATGTACAGAGGTACCTTTCACTTTGAAAACTGCTTTCGTTCCGGTATTTTTTATTCACTGCTCGTTAGGCTTTTACTCACAATCAGGTATCGGCGTACTTTAGTTTCATATGTGCCATTTTGTCATAATTATTCCATTTCTATATTTTACGTATTGCTTCAATAGCGTGAAAATTCCGTACCAAAAAGCAATGCATTGTTTTGTCTACTAAATATGCGTGGCTGCATTATTTGTTTTAACGAGTTTTTGTTATTTTAATGATCATTTCCTTTTAAAAGCAAAATTATATATTTTTTATTAACTACTTACATTGATTGCAAAATGTTAAATCGTTAAAAGAAACCTACTAAGATTTTCATGAACGTAGAAAACGAACTCAAATATTTATACTGGTTACAGGAAACAATTGATATATGCAAAATATTTACAGTAGGACAGTATTTAGAATAAATTCAATACACAAAAATATTTATTCAAACTGTAAAAGATTATGCACTCCATTTCTATATAAATATTTCTCTTATCTCAGACCAGGTGCTTAACCATTTTGTTGTTAATATGTGCAAAAATTTGTCGAACAATAAAAAATTAAGTTGTAGTAAGTTAATAGCTAACAAAGACTCACCCCTAAACACTTTTTGGGCATCATTACCAAAGCAAGACAGGGATGTTTATAATAATTCTTTTACATCAGCTCATTTATTTATCTTTATATTCGATTTTAAATTCGTCGTTATAGTATATAGCTTTCCAATCCACATTGTTTTAGTCAGCGATCGGTACAGGAGATATAGGATTATTAACGGTTATCATTGAGATCAATGGTTAATAATCAATGGTTATTTAGCAGTTATGATATTAAACTTTAAACTAGCATTGGCAACGACTTGGTCACATGCAATTTTAGCATGCAAGGTTGCAAGGACATGAAGGATTAAATATGGATTGTAATAATCTCTATTTATTAACTGAAAAATCATTATTTTATTACTATTGTTTTTAAGATTTAGGCCCCAATGAATTTAAAATTGAAATTATAATTAGTATTTATTGCTTCTAAATGGTGTTTTCTTTTGAAAAAACTTTTTATTTTTTAATTTTTTGTGGCTGTAATCTACTAATTACTCCTACTACTACTACTACTATTATTTTCTTACTATAAATCATCCCCTGTTTTCCTACCCCTAGGGTTAGATTTTTTTTCAAGTTTATATGGGACCAACTTCGGGGTATACCCTTTCCAATAAAAAAATAATTATCAAAATCGGACAGTTCTGTAAAAAGTTATGCGTGGTCATACATTACAATCAGTGAGTGAGCAACAATCAAGAATCATCCCGTATTCATACCCTTAGGGTTGGAATTGTTTTTTCAAATTTATATGGGACCAACTTAGGGGTATACCATTTCCAATCAAAAAAGGATTATCAAAATCGAACCACTCAGTAAAAAGTTATACGTGGTCATACATAAAAAAAAAAATATATGCGCCGACTTGAGAACCTCTTCCTTTTTTTCGTCGGTTAACAAATTATATTTGGTCAGATTTCAGAAAGCTTTCCTTATTTTGCTAGTGGTCATTTGCTAGATAAATGTGAAGCGTTAATTATTACAGTCAATTAACCAAAAATATTCTTAATGAGAATACGCGATGTTCAACATGTGTTCGGTTTGTGGTTATTATTTGTGGCAAACTCGAAATTAATAGTGTCATTAAAGTATTGGATGGCACTACACGTACCTAACAAATGGACAAGATTTTTATTTACCATCGGTATACCTATTAATCAAACATAAACCATTAGCAATCTGGTTGGTTCTGATGACGCAGTAATACGATCCTTCTACACACATATGATATCCTCACATATATATAAAACAGAAGTGTTGAACTCGTCGCAATCAATTCCGCTCAATCTCTCCTGTTACTCAGTTATCTCATTATAATAGCAATTCAATATGCAGACGATTTCGTGTATTTCAGTTTTACTATTTCTTGCTGTTGGAAGTGTTTTGGTATGTACGATAACAGTTATTGTTTTCTATTTATTGGTTTGATAATTACAGTTACTATTTTGATATGAAAACACAGTTAAAATTGTCAGCTTGGTCCTTTTGAAATTCTGTCCTTTTTTTGTAAAATTTGTATCAAAATAAGAATATAATTTATTAAGTTGTAAATTGTTCACAAATTAAACGAAATATTAAACTACAAGATAACTTCATTTGTAGATAGTCTACCTATATGTAGGTAAATTTCGTAGTCTACAAATTATTACTTAGTCATTGTTAACAAATTGAATCAAAGGATTCGTCAGCTTTTAAATGAAGAAACCTTTTATATTTCGAAGACATATAGGCTCTTTTTACTGTGTTTTCAATAAAATTATCAATCTAGTCCTGGAGACTGAAGTTGCTACCATTATTTATTCTAGTTGATTATTATGTTGTTTAATATACTATTAGACGGTTCCAATTGTCCTATCTTAGTCAACATTAATAATGGACACCTCCTGTATCTCCTGTTGCATTTAGGCATAAACTTACAATAATAATTTAAATTTTACTAATCCATTGAAGGTAAAACCATTCCAGTATTTCTTGCTTCATTTTACTTTTATTAAACATGTTTCACAATTTGCTGCACCATCGAAAGTTTGAGTTAATTTATTCATGTATATATATATATCACATTCAGGATTTTCAAGTTCAATCGTCTTGTTTTCACAAGCTCGCTCAACAATCTTAATAAATTTCACTTTCTAGATGAGCCCCTTTCATGTATAATTTAACTAATTATATGTTATCAGGCAACCCATGACCATCTAAGCAAAGGTATCTATCCAAAATTTGGTATTTGATTTCGTTATTTTAGTCCCCTTTCGAACTGTTTCCATATGGAATGCGTAGGGAATTTTCTCATTATAGCCTCACACAAACATTCAACCGTGTAATTTTGAAAGTGGTCTTGACATCAAACGCCATTAGAATACGTCATTCAGTACTTTTTCACCAATCTGATAATTATTACCGTTGTAGAATTTTACATTTATCTCAAATGTTCAGTTAGACTGGAATGGATTCTTAACATTAATTACATCTAGATGTTATATTTTGTCATTAGAAGTGCTAACAACACAGTAAATTAGCAGTTGATTTAGACCTTCACAGTTGTTGTCTGAAGAAACTGCATTTCCGATTTCAAACTATGACTTATTGATGGAATCCCTTCGATGGATCATGGTGGCGTCAGAAATGTCCTACATTTCATCTCCAATCACATGAGATATATTTAGGAAGTTCATGTTATCGATTAAGGATCTCTAACGCTGTTGCTGAACTGTTGTCGATTCTGGATCTCCAACGCTGCCGCTGAACTGTTGTCGATGCAGAATCTCCGACGATGTCACTGAATTGTTCAGCGGTGGAGATTCTACATCGACAATTCAGCAACAGCGGTGGAGATTCTGCATCGACAATTCAGCGACAGCGGTGGAGATCCAGCATCGATAACAGTTCAGCAACAGCGTTGAAGACCCTAAATCGACAACATGAACTTCCTGACGATGTTCCGTATGGTAGAAGATGAAACGTAGTATAGTTCTGATGCCATCAATGATCCGTCTTGGGGATTTCATGATTAAGACGTGGTTATAATCCAGAAATCCAGTTCTTTTAACATAGTAAATTAACACAAGAAGTAAGTACGTTATTCAAATTGAAACGAATTGATTGCAGTGTGATCTCGCACCTGAATTGCAAGCAATTTTAAAGAAACGACAAGAAGAATGTTTAGCCAGCAATCCTGTCGACAAAAGCGTTTTAGATGAAGCCCGAAGTGGAAAGTTCGCCGACGACATTAAATTGAAAAACTACATATTTTGCAATTTGTACAAAGGATCGTTTCTCACTGAGGAAGGCGCTTTACGACCACAGATTGCTCAAATTAAACTAACTCTAGCTTTCGGTAAGGAAAAGGCCGAAAGTCTCGTAGAAAAGTGCAAACCTACACCCAAGGATGACAAACTCGATGTTGCTTTCGACCTCCTCAAGTGTATTTATAATGATACAAACGAATCTATTATTTAGAATAAACATTTTATAAACTGCGGATGCTTTTTATTGTTATAACAACCATAAATTTTAATATCGTGAAGCAATTTAATGTATGCACATCTATGAATGAACAATTCTCAAAGTGCCTCGCCTTTTTGGGAAAAAGTCTAAAACGTGATTTCCACTAAAACGAACTTTATCTATGAAGTAACTTTCTAAAACAAATTTTTCAAATCATCTGCATTATAGCTTGTCTGAAGAAGAATAAGAGTCCAGCTTCAGACAGGAACTTTCTATCCACTAAAATTTCAAAAATAAAAACTAACTCTTCCCCTTATTTTGAAAAAAGTATATAAAGACATTATGCATTTTACAAAGAACTGAAGAACCGTTTTCTTAACATTCCTTAATAAATTATTCAAAGGATAAATTTTTATTTCGGTTTGTAATATTTTCGGTAACCATCAAAGATGTAGAAAAATCCTGTTGGAATACCCGATTATTTTTACCACAATAACCTTTTCAATCGCATGTACATTAACAAAGTATCAATGCTTTCAACGGAAGCACGTTGCTATCAGTATTAAAGCTGTTTAAAGTGAGAATAAAATACAATATATGTAGGTACAATACAACTCATTTTCTCCGTATACTTTTCCCAGTAATAATATCATACAAAAGCAGCGAGAAAGTGAAAAAAGCTTTAACTATAGGAACGAGCGTAGCCGGAGGTGTAGGAAGCGAAGGGAGAGAACTCACCCCCGCCTCACCTAACTGACGATTGAAGAAAGTTTGTCTTCTCTTTTTTTAATAAATAAAACTCATAAAATATAAATATAAGCATACTAATCTTTTGCCCCTGTATATCTATCCCTACAGTTGTACTGTCTTCAATGATGTTGAAGGCGTCTTCGATGTATAGATTAAAAAGTAGCGGTGACAGTGTACATCCCTGCCTGAATCCCTTCCTAACATTTTGAAAAGATTAAGTGTGACTTTTTTCCTACCCTTAAATAAAATCCTAGTGACACCAGTCATTATTGGTATTAACTTACACCGCCATTTCGATTCTGATTGAATCAACAAATTCAAACTCGTGAATGAAACTTACTGAAATAAGAAGTTTCAGAAAATCGTATTCCAAAGTTCAGAAAATGTTATCTAACGTATCAAATGGGCATTTTCAGTAAACAACAGGAATAGTTCAAAACTTACTATCCTTATTGCTCGTTTTTATTTCGAATACTTGATTGCTGAAGAATTGTCGTCGTAGGAGACGGTGTAAATTTTATTATTAACGCAGGACGTTGAACGTATGACGCTCGATAGTCCTTGAAAAAGAGCCAAGTGGAAGGTTGAGATTAAATATTTACCGAAATCTTAGTTTCAATATAGCTACATTTTTACTCAACAAGTCGCATCCTTTTTTGAGATTTTGTTTCATCAAACAGGAAGTCTCTTACAAGTTTTAAAGAAGCAGGGAAGAAAGTTCTATTGACAAATATTTTCTGATCAATCAGTACAAATTACAAATTCGATTGAAACTCAATTTTTAAAAATAGAACAATATATAATAACCAGTAGCCAACCTATAAAATATTTTTTTTATTGTTTCAGAATGACTTCACTTCAGGATTTAGAAACGGCATGTAAGTAAATAAAGGGTAAGTGTTTTTGTATTTAGATATCTCCTAATATCTACTCAAATTTGAATTCTCCAAAACCCAAATCCATTAACCCATGAATTACAATTCTCTTATACTATATTATATAACATTAGTTAACGAGCTATTGACTTAAATTTGATAACGATGGTGGTAGTTTACCATTTAATTCTTTAATTTGGTGTAATTTCTACTAAGTACCGTATGGGTAGATTACAAAACAAATCGAAAAATTAGTACTCATTGAACCAATGTTAGAGTTGCTTCCTAACGTTTCGCTAGCACTATCGGCGAACTTCTTCAGAGGTATTTCTATCTCCGATGTTTGATGTGGCAACTCAAAATTACTACGATCTTTAACTGACCGCAAACAGTTTTTAGCAATTTTTCCTTCTTCTTGGCATTTCTTCAAATATTTTTTAAATTAATAGTAAGTATACCGCAATTAAAGAAGAAGACATTTAGCTTTTAATAGATATTTACTCTTATAACAGTATCTAATGTTTGTTGCACTATGATTATTGCCAATAACAGTACATTTTATGAAATTTCAGTACATAAATCATAACGATTCAGTTCATGCATTTATTAAAAAGAGAAATATCTTAAATTAAACTGAATTTAGTTTCGTTGTAGACGCATTTGTAAATTGCTTCTGCCGATTCCTTTTTGTCTAAATTCTTCTGGGAGGTACATTTTGCAACAAGTTTCTTCGCATTTTCGGCAGCAGTTACTGATGCTAGTTTGGTTTCAAGTACGGCTGTCTGGATTTTTCCATCGGGTGTAATAAATCCAGATTTTTCAATGACGCAATACAAGTAATCCTTTAGAGTTTTATTATCTGCAAGATCCCCTTTGCGTGCTTTTTCAAGAAGTAGTTTATCTGCTGGAAACGATTTTAGACATTCGTCCTGGTGTTGCTTTAGCTTAGCTTTTTGCTCATCAGTCAATGTCGCCTTGAATGAAAAACGTACATAAACAGTAATTTAGAGTAACGAATGACTAACATTCATTGCGACCAATTGACTTATTTTTACTGTTATCTGAAGAATTTTATATGTTGGATAATATTTCTTGGTTTCTTTATTGTTTGTTAGTTAAGGTGTTGTTGATTGATTAGAGAAATAGTACTTTAATGGAATAGTGGGATAAAAAACATAAATATTTGACGACTGCCTTTTTCCATTAATCTTATGATTCGGGAACAATACGATTCATCAAAATGAGAAAAACAAGTCATGATCGTAGCCGATATATACAAATATCAATATTCTATATTTAGTAAACCTCCCGCTGTATCATACACATTTAGAATCATTTACTCAATTTCCTACAAAACGAAAGATAAAATGTAATTATTTATATTAATTTTTTATTATTTTATTCCCAGAAAAGTATTTGAATTAAACCAGAATGTACATTATTAGGAAAAGCTCTTAAGTTCATAAAATATTAAAAAAAAATCCGTTCTCGTAAAANTGGAAGAAAAATATTCATGTTACATACTTTTAGGCAGATAATAATTCAAAATTGGAGCGCTTTCCCATTAAACCTGAGGCGATTAAAGTACCAAAATACTTTTAAAAAAAGGTTGAAAAGCTAATTCTTCAAATTTTGTATTTTATTACCTACCTACTAAAACTAGCAAAAAGTGAGTCTTCATAAAGTTACGTGTTAAAATTTTCTCTTTTTGGACAAAAATTATTTAAACTTTAACCCCATTAGAAGCCTTCATTAATAAAAAAGTTTTAGCTATTGATTAGTATAAAATTTATTGTTATTTCAATCCACATTAAATTTTAAAGCCTTTGGAATAGGAAAGTATATTTTTGTCTGTTTAATTAAATATGAGCTTCATTTTCTCTCATTCTCATTGAATTCTTGTTAGCATTAAACGTTACCCACTATTATTAAGTAGGTATAATAAATAAATATCGATCTAAAAAAATTTAAGCAATTTAATTTACCTGAACTGTGGCAATTACAGCAAGGATAACAACACTGTACAAAACCTTCATATTTGATCACGATGCCTTTGTATGTGTTGAAGTTGCTGGTCTACTCTTTTTTGAATGAATGAAGGGTTCTCCAGGCACAGAATGTATTTATACTTCGTCCCGTAATACATTCATACGATACACAAACGCCTTATCACTGTTTCATATTCAATTGATGGTTTATAATATTCACTTCAAGTGTAAAATGTAGACGTATGTAAGGATACATTTTCAATGTACACTAGCCTGCAAAGTTCATGATACATCACAGCTTCCATTACTCGTTTTAGACCCAATCGCCCATTGGGTCATCAGGTCGTTAGCCTTATATTTACCACGAAAAATCAAGACCAAGATCGAATAAGTAAGACCAAAACCACGACTGGGATAGTCCATGATCTTCGTCTTACTGTCAATACATTTCTGGAAAACTATTAGAGAAAAATAGAACGCTAAAAGCACAGACATTATCTATCATAATCCGCCATTTTGTATTTAATCAACACAAATGATAGCGACATGTGTCCATCAGTTGAGTGATCTAAACCCAATTGTATTTAAAAGTATTTCAAATTGAAGTATAATTTGAGTTTTTGATGTAGGTAGATATATAATGGGTCAGCCAGGATCTAGGATCAGGACCAACATGTACCGTATATATTTATCTATAGCCTCGGTCCAAAATGGGTGATGATATACTTATGCATTTAGTGTCTTAAAATTAATAAAATGTATAGGCAAATAGGGCAATAGAAAATGCAAATACAAAAGTGATGAAACTTTGTACCTCAAGCAAAACTTCAACGTCCTGGATTAAAACCCATGGAGTATCTATGGGGGGAGATGCAAGAAACAGTTGAAAATTCAAGGGTGGCAAACCAACACTTTAATTGTGACTTAAAAACTAGTGCTCTTAATGTCACAGCAACTACAGAGGCTTTAGACGAGAGGATGATACAATCTTCTATACTAACTGCTTCACGTACTCTTGGATTCCATTTTCGTTTGTTCTTGCTGCTGTACCATGATTTTTGCCGGCAGGTGTATACGTACTTATACACACTTATATAGAAATGCATATTAAAAAATCGCCTGGAAATATGCATATTGTCATAAATACGTATGTTCATGTAAGTCGTTAAATTAAAAGCCAGGTCTCTTGAATCATTATAAACTGAACTCAAAAGAACCTGTTGGTGCTTCTTTAGTAACAAATCAATTTGCATAACTTGAAATTAAGTCTAAATGTACTAATTAAAAGTAATTTACTATGTCTATCGGTACGCAGTAGATGATTATTAAAAGTGTTCACACACTAATTGTTTTTTATTTCATTTACTTTACTTAATTGGTTAATTATTAAGAAGCTGTTGACTAAGGTTCTGAAATGCAAAATGGTTACAAAAATATTAAATTTCAAAGGTCCTTAACAAATAAATTAAAGATTGTGATAATAGTCAAGGGAAACTCAACAGCGGTCCACATGATCGTTGAATTGTCTCATATGATAGCTATTTTTAAATAAATTGGTACCTGTGATTTAATTCGTGTTGCCAGAAAAGAAACAAATTACACCTAGAAAAAGTTATGTCGATTAAAATGTAAAAATTGTAATTTCATTGTGTTCAAAAACTCATACGAATTTAAATAGACTATAAGAAACAGGTGTCGTAAAATAAAACAATGAAACATTTTTGATAGGGAATTGCACATTGCGTTATGATATTTCGAAAAATCACTCAACAAAAATTACATTATTACCTAATGCGTTTTCTTAATTTCGTATTCGTCATACACATAGCTGCGCTGTCAAGTCCAATTGTTGAACCAAAGAAAAAACTTTAAAACACCGGAAAGTAGAGCGGAAGGCCCTCTTCAACCCCTTTCCGGAATCGAGAGAATGGGTGGATGGTGGTTCGGGTGAGAAAGATGAGACGAACGAGATGAAGACAGAAGAGAGTTAAAGATTATCTGTGGAATATTACTGCCTCAGCATTTGCCTAAGTGATCCAAGGAAACACAGAAAAACTTGGACCAACGCAGACGGACCCGGAATCGAACCGAATGCTAAGCAATGGTCTAACCCTCTAGGCCATGCCGCTCGGTTGTTGAACCAACCCTTATTTTGGTTCTTATACCTACCTATAAAACCGCGTACAGAAATGAGAAGCGTACCCTTCCAGATATGGTGAACCAGCGCTTGTCGGTAAAACAACCGCGATCAAAACCCCTTAGTGTAATCAGGGTTACAAAACGTCTCGAGCATGGTGGTATATAAAAATATTTTGCCATCCTAGACTTGTCTACTTATGCGATAGTCCTTTTGGAGTGGATTTTCCTATTTGGATCCTAAACCACCTGTAGATAATTTAGAATCTCACGGGCCTAGGTCATTTACATTTATTATAAGGGTCCTCCTGGGTTGTATAACGAGGTATATGGTTGAGAGCAGAGTACAACATAATGTTGAATATGTGAAGGTTCATGAAATTTTGAACTAGCTATATCTCAAACCAACTAAATATTTCGTTCAAATGTACATTTTACAAAAATACAAGAACTGTCTGCAACACATATGTAATATTTTATTAAATATGTTACGGTATGACATTAATAGTGTAGATAGATGCATCTGTTTCCCAGGTATATTGGTTTCTTTTACGACATCTCATATATCGAAATCAAATATTTTTATTTTTAATTTATACTTTGAAAACTCGTTTTTTCATGGCATTCACCTGAACATTCCCTCAACAGTCAACTACCTTTGCGTTTAAATATGCAGACTTCAATTTTACTCCTGTTGGTTCTCATGTTAAATAAATGTTTGGACTTCAAGATTGTTTTAAGAATGTGGTCGACAGGTTTTTTTAAGACAAACACGTTTTGTTGGTAAAATTTTCTGATTTAGTACTAATTTGGGAATGTTCTTATAATTACATAATTTATTGTAAGTAATTATTCAAATAGAGAGGATTGCAAGTCATTCTACAACTCGATCATGTCTATTTAGTATAAATGACGAAAACGATTATCATAATGTAGTTTTGAAATCATAAATTTCTGTTTTATTGATTTTATCTGTACCTAACATTGACCGAAACTACCCTTTAGGATTTAGGGAGATGATATCAATTAGAAATCGTTTTAACAAAAAACTACAAGCTATTTTAACAGCAACAGTAACAGTTTTCTTCATCTAAAGTTACTCATTTAATTAAAACTATAATTTTCTTTAGTTCTTCGTAGATATAGGTAGAAGTATCTGATTACTAGCTTTGGTAAGAGATAAGACAATGCGGATTACACCAAACACTATTTTAATTAATTCTTTCGTAGGAGTATTTTGGCTGAAACAGTTGACTGCTAATACGTACGTTACAAAGTGCTTTCATGTGACCTTAACTAATAAAACAAAGTTTATTTTGAATAAGTATTAAGTGCAAAGTGCAGAGTTGAAAATTAAGGTACACTGCACAATGTTTATTCTATTAACTGGCTTCCTTTTTCTATATCTACATATATAATTTTGTTTAAAAACGCTTCTTTTTTAAACTCGCGCCTCGTAGGACTACCATATTATCACCTGAATAAACATGATTCCAACTGTTTGGCATAAAATTGATTTCAAAATGTCGATTACAACAACTTTCGTTTTCTTACGTTCAGTCGTCTCATCATTACTTTTGCTTTTCACAAGTCGCTGCAATTGAGTAGTGAAGGTTGAGCAAACAATGCCTGTTTAGCCGGAAATTTAATTTATTTGCCATTTAAACAATTGACTTTTATATCCTGTTAAAGATGTGTTTGTATTTGTGTTAACGGCCATTACGTACAATGCTTTCAGTGTAATAATCATAACAACTTAAGAGATAAACATAAATTTAACGTTCAAGCTACCGAATTTTATTGAGGAACATTTATAATGGAAATTTTTGATACACCTCTGCAAATTCTGATCTGGGTCGAATTATATACGTAATGGAATCAGGGTCACACTGGGTAGCCTCATCCAGATTCTAAGACCTAATTAGACTTAAATATTTTAAAGCGTTGTAGTTCTGATTCGATACAAATCAGGTCACTTAACTCGATCAGGATCAAATTATATAACTGAATCACTACCAGGTAGGGTAGTCCCATCTGAACCAAGTGTGGCTATCTGACTGGGTCTTATTTGAAGTCAGATATATATAAGAACCCGGGTCGTTTGCCATTACGCACTAATGCACTAATTAACTAACTAAATTACGAGAGATGACCTTATAATATGTATGATAAGGTCCGGACCGCAGCCGCAACAAATTTTCAATGGATTTAAGGTCGGTAAACCTGATTTGTGTTCTGAATCGAATTATTATAAAAAGGACTTCTTCGTCAACTTTTTAGATTCTTGATAGTAACGACCAGGGTCGATATAGACGCCCTTTTGATATTTAAAAGTTTCAATAAGAATGTTAAACCTTAATTAAGATTGTTTATGTGTATCACAATATTGCTTAAGAAAGTATTTTTACTGTCTACATCGTTTTAACATTTTCCTATTTAAATTACGTACAAATTACATTATCAATTCTTATATCCACTTTTAGACTGGATTATGCCTTGTGGACTGTTATTATTAAATTGGATTATTTTGCTTTAAATTTTCCGCTTGATTGAAGGTGACATCCCGTAAATATACTACATGAGTTATGTAAGTGACAAGTAATGCCAATAAAAACCTGTTAATCTTTCGCCTTTTTTCTAGTTACACGTTTAAGGTTAGCGTCAGTAGCCAGGTTTTTTGCGGTCAATATTGCGATTACAACAAACGTCAACTTTCTTGGAATAAATATAATAAAAACTTTTACGGCGCTAGCATTCAAGTTTGGTTTAAATTATATTATTTTTTCCACCAGAGGGTTGTTTCTTTTTGGGGCGATTTGGTGCGAAAATATGTCCCATAGTAAATTTCATGAATGTTTTTGTCCTAATCTGACAAAATGTGGCGTAAAGATTATCTGCAGTTGTAAATAACGAATAATAGCCTATCAGATAACTTTATTACATCGACCTGTAGTAAAAACACCAATAAAAAAAAAGAATTTGGAGTATACTCACTCCTCCATATTGTTGGATCGATCAGTTCTAGTTAAACGAAACGAAAAACATTGTTTCATTGCTGTTTTGTTTGATCATGAACGGCACACAGCGAGGCGATCTTAAAGTAGCAAATGTACGTTTATGGCCCAATTAGATTTTATTACAAACGATTCACGAATTTTTACGTATGTCGGAAATAGTGAACCAATTCAACAATAAAAAACAACTACTACGTAGTTTTACGGAAAAATAATCAAATTCAACCTTTCTATGTTTTTATTATCATAAGGTCGTCAGTCCTATGACTGGCTGGACACGCAACTCCAGTCTTTCCTATTCTTTGCTAATCTTCGCATTTCCCTAACAGTAGAACATCCCACATCCTTAACTATTTACGAACAGTAATCTAATCTAAATCTACCTCTACCCCTCCTAACTCCTGTTTCTGCCTCTAATATGTCTTTGACTAGACCTTCATGCCTGAGAAGGTTTCCTATTAATATCTCGCCTATTTTTTATTGACTTCTATAGAATCCTCTGTTTTCCTATTCTTTCTAATACCTCTTTGTTTCTAACCATCTCTATCCTCATCATTCGCCTGTAACACCACATTTTGGACTTTTAACCATTTCATTTGTGTTTAAACAATTATTTAGTTGCAAGAGATAACAATCTAAAAGTTGAACTGCTTTATTACCATTATTATAGAGATATTATCATTACTAAAAATCACTACACGTACGTTTTCCTTATCGCGTGAATAAATGTGCAATACATGTACGTATTACACGCACATAATGCTCAACTCTAGTATTACATGCAATTCGAAATTCTCATATAAATTCATTTTATGACAATATGTAGCTACTAATAATAATAATCTTTAATGGTAGGAGGCTTTACTTGTCGAAACTCCGTAATCGAATAAAGGAAACGAAGGTAAAGTTTCAAAAATATGTATTAATTGTTCACAATTGTTTCACCATAACATTGGCTTCTTCAGATGAAGGTATTCTGATTAATTAAATTCACATAAATACTAAAAGTTTACAAATTCTATGGGGTGGGAACAACGAAAGTAAGGGATAAGGCCAGACATTAAGTTTTTGAAGACAAATTTAAATTTAAGAATGGACAACAATTTACATCAGTTTAGTAAAATATTTAATTTATTGTATCTATTAATATAAAGACTTTCAGGTAGGTTTAAGGTACATTTTGCAACAAG